TCCAATTAAATAAGTTCTAGGTATGGTTCTGTTCTGTCTTGATGATGTTTAAAAAATATGGGTTTTTTTCCTCAATTACATGTAAAAACCAATTTTAACATTCATTTTTTTTTAACATTTTGAGTTCCAAATTCCATCCCAACCTTCTTCCCCTCACCCCTCATTGTCTGAAAGGCAAGCAATTTGATACGGACTATAAATGTGCAATCATGCAAAATATATTTCCATATTAGCCATGTTACAAAAGAAAACACAGGCCCTCCCCCCTACCCCCCCACCAAAAAAAAAAAAACAAGAAAAATAAAGTTTTTGAAAGTATACTTCACTTTGCATTCAAATTCTATCACTTCTTTCTCTGGAGGTAGATAGCATTTTTCATCATAAGCCCTTTGGAATTGTCTAGGATCATTGTATTGCTGAGAATACCTAAGTCCTTCATAGTTGATCATTGTATAATATTGCTCTTACTGCGTACAATGTTCTCCTGGTTCTGCTCACTTCACTTTCTATCAGTTCATATAAGTCTTTCCTGGTTTTTCTGAAACCAATGTCTTGATGATCTTAAAAGAATGGAAAGGGAGGAGAAGAGGAAAAGGGAAATTACCTCACATAATTAGGGTGTATAAATAGACATCTATACAAACAAGAAGGGAGGGGCAGCTGACATTTGAACCTCACTCTCATCTAAACTTATCAAAAAAAGGAAGATATCCATACATACCCAGTCGAGTATAGAAGTACAATTCTCTCCACAGTGAAATAGCAGGCAGAGGGGAGAATGAAGGAGGGGGACTTAGAGGGAGGATTGATTTAGGAGGATAGAAAGATTAATCCTAAGCAAAATAATAAAGATGTACAGAAAATATAGCAAAATAATAAGGATGTATGAAAATATAGCTCTTTTGAGGTAGTAAAAATGGCAATCTGAGAGGTTACCCATAAATTGGGGATGACTAATTTAAGTGTTAGTAATAAATGTGTTGGGGCAGCTAGATGGTTGCAATTGGATAGTGTACTGAGCTTGGAGTGAGGAAGACTTATCTTCTGGAGTTCAAATCTGGCCTCAGACACTCGCTAACTGTGTGACCTTGGGTAAGTCACTTAACCCAGTTTTTTCAGTTTCCTCATCTGTAAACTGAAATGGAGAATGAAATGGCAAACCACTCCAGTATCTTTGCCAAGAAAACCCCACATGGGATCATGAAGAGTCAAACACGACTGAAAACAACCTAACAACAAGAAGAATAAATGTGTTGGAATACTGTTGTGCTGAACTCTTATCAGTACAATGATGAACCAGCATTCCAGAGGACTAATGATGAAACATGCTACCCATGTCCTGATTGAAAGGTGAAGAGACATGCAGAATGAGACAAATACATTTTTGTACATAGCCTGTGTGGAAATTTGCTTTGATTGACTATATGTGTTTTTAATGGGTTTTGGTTTTTTTGTGTTCTCAGTGGGGGAGGGGGAAATTGGAGTGGGAGAGTAGAAGACAGATCTTGACTGATCAAAACAAATAAAATAGATATTTTTTAAAGTAAAGAAGTGCTTTCTAGGCATGGGGAATGGCCAGTGCAAATGCATGGAGATGGGAGATGGTATGCCATTTCTGAGCAACAGAAAAAAGGTAAATTTGATTAGACTATGGAGTTTGGGAAAGGAAATAATGTTTGAGTACTGTGATAAAGACAGGCTGTAGTCAAGTTGTAAAAGACCTTCAAAGCAAAACAAAGCTATTATTTTAAAGATAATAGGGGAACTCTGGGGTTTATTGAGCAGAGGAGTGACATGGTCAGGTCTGTGTTCAAAGCACAGACTTTGTCAGTTGTATGGAGACAAATTGGTATGGGAGAGACTTGAGGCAAGGAGACCAATTAGGAAGCCATTGCAACAGTCCTGGTGAAAGGTGATGTGGGTCTAAAGAAAAGTGATGACTCTAATGATAAGTAGAAAGAAGGGGTCAACTTAAAAGAATGCTTTGGAGATAGAAACAACAGAATTTGGCAACCAATGAGGAAGACTGAGGAGTACAGGATAACCCCAAGGTTTTGAATTTGAAAGACTAGAAGAATGGTGATATGCTTGACAAAAATAGGGAAGTTTTGCTGAGGGTAGGGTTTGGGGAGAAAGATGAGTTCTGGTCAGACTATTTCTAGAGTATTTTCATTTCTTACACCATGCTTTAGGAAAGACTAATAAACTAGAGTCCAAAAGGATAGTGACTAGGATAGTGAGAGGTCTGGAGGATATGCCATACAAGGATCAGCTAAAGGCACTGAATATTAGAGAAGCCAAAGGGATGATATATGATAGCTTTTCCTCAAGTATCTGAAGATCTATCTTGCACATAAGGGAATAACTTGTTCTGCTTGGTACCAGATGAATCAACTAGGAGGGGTAAGTAAAAGTTACAAAGAGGCAGATTAATGTTTAATGTAAGGAAAACCTTAATAATTAGAGCTTGTCAAAAGTAGAATGAGCCACCTCTGGAGGGCAGAGGTTCTACCACATTGGAGATGAGAGTGGAGTCTGGAAGACCACTTGTTGCTGTTGGAGAGGGATTCTGAAGTATGGTGTTCTCTGAGGTTTTTTCCAACTTTTAGATTCTCTGAGTCATCTATAAGATGAATACTTGGGCATGATATAGTAGAAAGAGCTCTGGATTTGAAGTTAGACCTGGGTTCAAACCCCGGCAACAATTTACTAGTACTAACTGTGTCATAACACAGTGCCACAAAGATCACGTTAAAAAACCTCTACCTTACTCACTGAGTTGATTAACAAGACTTAAATTGAATTCTAATCTAGCTCCAGTGAAACTTTTAAGATATTCTTTAATCTCTTCATTTCCCTCCCTGACTTCCATTGTCTCTTTCCCCACATTCATACATAAAAAGACAGATCTCGGGGGAGGGGGTAATCAGAAGCAAACACTTCTGAGGAGGGACAGGGTCAAAAGAGAGAATAGAATAAATGGGGGGGGAGGAAGGGAAATATAGTTAGTTTTCCATAGCATGACTACTAATGGAAGTATTTTGCATGACTACACAAGTATAACCTGTATGGAGTTGCTTGCCCTCTCAGTGAGGGTGGGTGGGGAGGGAGGAAGGGAGAAAATTTGGAACCCAAAGTTTTAAAAACAAATGTTAAAAAAATTGTTTTCACATGCAACTGGGAAATAATATATGCAGGCAATGCGATATAGAAATCTATCCTGCCCTACAGGAAAATAGAAGAGGAAGGGGATAAGAGAAAGGGTGGGGGAGATAGAAGGGAGGGCAGATTAGGGGAAGGGGTATTCAGAATGCACACTGTCTTGGGGCTGGGGGAGGGACGAGATGGGGAGAAAATTTGAAGCTCAAAATCTTGTGGAGGTGAATGTTGAAAACTAAAAATAAATAAATTAATGAATCTTTTTTAAAAAAAGAATTGGAAGTCTTATTCCTATAATGTGTGCAGAAAAAATACTGAGGTTCCTTTTTCAGGTCCAGATCCATCCTTTCCCATAGATGCTGTTTCTAAACCTGGAATTCTCTTCCAGCCTTCTAGTTGGATGTTCCTTTATATTTGTTGTTGTTGAGTTGTTTCAATCATGTCCAACGCTTCATAACCCCATTTGAGGTTTTCTTGGCAAAGATACTGGAGTGGTTTACTGTTTCCTTCTCCAGCTCATTTTACAAATGAGAAAACTAAGGCAAACAGGGTTAAGTGAAAGGGTCACACTGCTACTAAGTGTTTGAAGCCAAATTTGAACTCAGGAAGATGAGTCTTCCTGACTCCAGGTCCAGCACTCTATCCAATGTGCCACTTAGCTGCCCCCTCCTTCATCTTAGCTCCTTCTAAATAATGCTGAACCCAGACTCAAAGGTCATTGACCATCAGAAATTTGGTTTGAGCCTTACTCATCCTAGGAATTTTACTTCAAATCTGAAATGTCAGTGACAAGCAAGAACCTCACCCAAGCCTTAATTCAAATAATTCTTACAGTTTGCTGCTGCTCTGCTGTTTCTATCACAACTCTGCTGCATTTATTGGAGCACTTTGCCCCCCCTTCCTTTCTATACAATCTATCAGTCTGTATTAAAATGTAAAACAAGCTCACATACACTCAACTCGCCACAAACAGTATGGGAGTACCAAACTTGTCATTTATATGTGATTTGGGAAAACCTAGACAGAGAACCATGAGAATCTTATAGTTCCCAGAGGATACTACTTATTTACCTAGTAGTTATATGGCTTAAGTGAAAGAAGTCGTATGGGAACACTTTGAAAAATATTAAATGCTATGTAACCATTAAGTGGCTTTTATGAAGTAAATACTTTTTTTGCAATTAAAAGGTAAAATTCCAGATATACATACTAGGAATTATTTTTAATTTCATGTTTCTCTTATTGTAGTATTCTTTATCACAACACAAAGACAAATGGATATTTGTATTTTTGTGCTTTTAAATTTGTATTTTTAAATTTCTTTCAGATTCAAAGACTAGGTCTGAAATCAAGGAATCAGTTCCAAAACAGGAAAAAAGATCATCCCAGGGTATGTTTTAATGGAAAGACTCTCAAGCAGTGTTCCCCAGGACTCTATGTTGGGAGAAGTCTGGAAATTGAAGGCCCAATTTGAGAGTCAGATGGGAAATCAGGGGAAATATTTGCAGAATATTACATTTTCCCACATCAAAACATCTACTGAGGAAAAAGGGTCAGAATCCGATCACAGTGGGAAAAAATTCAATCTGAGGCCAATCCTTGTTATGCAACAGAGTATTCCTTCGGAAGAGAGATTATATAAATGTGATGCACATGAAAAAAGCTTCAAACAGAATGTGTATCTGACTATTCACCAGCAAATCCATGAGGGGAAGAAACCTTGTAAATGTAACGAATGTGAAAAAACTTTTAGAGGTCATACATCCCTTATTCAGCATCAAAGAATTCATAATGGGGAGAAGCCCTATGAATGTAATGAATGTGGAAAAGCTTTTAGCCAGAGTGCACACCTCACAAATCATCAGAAAACTCATACAGGAGAGAAATCTTTTAAATGTAATGAATGTGATAAAGCATTCAGTTATTGCTCAGCCCTTATTCAACATCAGAGAATACATAGTGGGGAGAAACCTTTTGAATGTAGTGAGTGTGAAAAAACCTTTAGTCGGAGTACATACCTTACTCAACACCAGAGAATTCACACTGGAGAGAAACCCTATAAATGTAGTGAATGTGGAAAAGCCTTTAGCCAGAGCACACATCTCACTCTGCATCAGAGAATTCACACTGGAGAGAAACCCTATGAATGTAATGAATGCGGGAAAACCTTCAGCCAGACTGCACACCTTACTCAACATCAGAGAATTCATACTGGAGAGAAACCCTATGAATGTAATGAATGTGGGAAAGCCTTTAGTGACCATTCAGCTCTCATTCGACATCATATAATTCATAGTGGAGAGAAACCCTATAAGTGTAATCAATGTGGAAAAGCCTTCAGTTACTGCTCAGACCTCATCCAGCATCAGAAAACTCATACGGGAGAGAAACCCTATAAATGTAATGTTTGTGGTAATGCTTTTAATGATTGTTCAGCACTTGTTCAGCATCAGAGAACTCACACTGGAGAGAAACCCTATGAATGTAATAGCTGTTGGAAAGCCTTTAGTAACTACTCAGCCCTAATTCGACATCATATAGTTCATACTGGAGAGAAACCCTATGAATGCAGTGAATGTGGAAAAGCCTTTAGCCGGAGTACATACCTTACTCAACATCGACGAGTACATACAGGGGAGAAGCCTTTTGAATGTAATGAATGTGGGAAGGCTTTCAGTCAGAGTGCATTTCTTACTCAACACCAAAGAATTCACACAGGTGAGAAACCCTATACATGCAATGAGTGTGGAAAAGCTTTCAGTGATCGCTCAGGCCGGATTCAGCATCAGAGAACTCACACTGGAGAGAAACCCTACTCATGTAATGAATGTGGGAAAGCCTTTAGTTATTGTTCAGCTCTTATTCAACATAAAAGGATTCATACTGGGGAAAAACCTTATGAATGTCATGACTGTAGAAAAGCCTTCAGTGACCGCTCAGCACTCATTCAACATCAGAGAACTCACACAGGAGAGAAACCCTACAAATGTAACGTATGTGGAAAGGCCTTCAGCCAGAGTACAAATCTGACAAGCCATCAGAAAACTCACACTGGAGAGAAACCCTATAAATGTCATGAATGTGGAAAAGCTTTTGGATACTGCTCAGGTCTTATTCAACATCAGATAATACATACTGGAGAGAAACCCTATGAATGCAGTGAATGTGGTAAAGCTTTCTGTCGAACCACAGACCTCATAAAGCATCAGAAAATTCATACTGGAGAAAAACCTTACACATGCAATGACTGTGGAAAGGCCTTCAGCCAAAACACATATCTTACCAAACATCAGAAAACTCACTGGAGAGAAACCTCGTATACACAATAAATGTAAGAAATCACTCAGCCAAACTGCTTCCATATATGCCTAGATCTTTTGTTGTTGTTCAGTTGTGTCTCATTCTTCATGACCTTATGGACCATAACATGCCAGGCCCTTCTGTCCTCTGCTATCTCTTGAAGTCTGTCCAAGTTCATGTTTGTTGTTTCTATGATACTATATCCATCTCATTCTCCACCATTCCCTTTTCCTTCTGCCTTCAGTCTTTCCAAAATCAGGGTCTTTTCCAATGAGTTCCATCTTCTCATTATGTGGCCAAAGTATTTAAGCTTCAGCTTCAGTATTTGACCTTCCAGTGAACAGCCTGAATTAGTTTCTTTAACTGTTGACTGACTTGGCCTCCTTATTGCCCAAAAGAGTCTTAAAAGTCTTCTCCAGCACCACAGTTTGTAAGTGGCAATTCTATGGTGTTCAGCTTTCCTTGTAGTCCAATTCTCATAGCCATGCATTGCTACTGGAAAAAAACATCGCTTTGACTAATACAGACCTTTGTCAGCAAGGTGATGTCCCTGCTTTTTTTTAGTATGCTGTCCATATTTGCCATAGCTTTTCTTCCAAGGAGCAACCACTTTTTAATTTCATGGCTGCAATCACCGTCTTGCAGTGATTTGCTCAAGGATATAAAATCTGATACTGCTTCCATTTCTTCTCCCTCTATTTGCCAGGAAGTGATGGGACTATTTACTAAGAGCTTAGTTTTTTTGATGTTAAGCTTCAAGCCAGCTTTCATACTCTTTCATCCTTATCAAGAGGCTTCTTAATTCCTCTTCACTTTCTAGACTTGGATATATAGCTATAGATATATGTAGATTCATTATTTGTCTGACTCTTTCTTACCTACACAGGGATGATAATTATCTGTAGACTTCCACTCATTGGCCTATGGAAACTATGAATCTATTAGCAGATACAGTCTCCCAAAGGACATCTACCCTACTATATTTATACATGAAGCTTAGAAGACCTTATGGGTGACATTCAAGTCCATGAGATCAGAAGGCAGCAGAAGATTCATTAATCCCTTAAGCTAGCAATTTTTTCCTTTATGGAATAATCACTGGATTGGGCATGAGAACTTGGAACGTGTATCTGTAGACTTAGAATTCAGAGCACGAAAGATATTGAAGGACCAGTGAACCACAAAGGAAAGAATGTAGATTTGATTGGTACTGAATGCAGACACTTGGAAAATATACATATATGGAATATGTAGGGTACACCCCTCTCATTCATGAGCCCTCCAAATAAACTACTCCAGGTTCGAGATACCCTTTGGGGTCACATCACTCAGAAATCCTGCATCTATAGCTATATCTATATACATACATATATATACATGTGTATAAATGTGTATATACGTATATGTGTTCGTATATGCGTATACACATACATTCTTATTTTTAAAATTCTCACACCAGAGTGTGGGGGCAGGGAGGGGGATACTTGAAATGTTTTCAATTTAAATGGTTGGAATATTTATCCCCTAGGAAGAGCAGAGGGAAGATCCTAAGAGCTCTGGCTACTACCTTGACAGGCAATATTATATAGTGATGAAACTAATCTCTTGAGGGGCAGAAGATCTGGGTTCCAATTCTAGCTGTACTACTATTGTAACCTTGGGCAAATCACATAACTACTTTGTGCTTCCATTCCTTCATCTGCAAAATGAATGGATTGAATCTCCAAAGTCCTTTCCAGTTCTTAAAATTCTGTAGAATTGCTATTCATAGATCTGTGGATCCATGAATTATGATTATCATTTGCACCAAGCCAAGCTAGTCAGGAGATAAAGATATTCATTCAGTAGAGATAATGCAGTGCAATAAAAAGAACTCTGAGCAGGACAGTCCTCTGTTTGAATCCAGTATTTGACACTTTCTGGCTGTAAGACTGTAGATAAATCATTTTAAGCTCTTCAAACCTCAGTTTCTCCACATGTAAAATGTATATGTAGCACCTGCCTTGTAGGTTTATTTGTGAGTATCAAATAAGATAATATATGGAAATCTTAGCTTTGTAAACAGTAAGTACACTATAATAGCTGCTATTATTACTAATTGTTGGGTTATAATGCACATGGTCATATACAGTCTTACACCTGACAAAATACTCCAAAACTTAAAATATTCTGTTGAAGTCTTGAGTGTGAACTAGAAATTTTAAAAATAAATTTAAGTAATATATTCTAGACATTGAATAATTATTCACTGGGAATGTTGAACTGAAATTTTGCTTTGGAGTGCATATGAAAAGTATAGACAAAAGGAGTGAATGGAAGTTAGGACAAGGAATAAATGACCTAGAATAAGTACAGATTCATTTTGCAAACAATGAAAGATTGTCCAACAGGTCAACACTGGACAATACTGGCCATCATCTTGTCCACTGTGGAGAGCACCTGAATACCTGAATTGGAAAGACTGCCAATGAGAATAAGAAGTTGGAAAGTATGCTAATATGAACCTCACAAAGGCTATTTTTAAAAACATGATATGGAATAAAATTGTATATTCATTATCTGACTCTTTCCTATATATGTAGTAGAAATAGTCATCTATAGACTTCTGCTCACTGACCTGTGAAAACTATGCGTCTACTAGAAAATGCAACCTCCCAGAGAAGCTCTCTTCTATGTTTATATACGAAATTTAAAGAACCCTAACAGTGACATTCAAGTCCATGAAGTCAGATTCATTCACCCTTTAAGCTAATGATTTTTCCTTTTATGGAAAAATCACTGGATTGGGTATGAGGACTTGGAATGTGTATCTGTAGATTCAGAAAAGCAGGGAAGAAATTGAAGGGCCAGTGAACTACAAAGGAAAGAATACAGATTTGATTGGTACTGAATGCAGACACTTGAAAAATATACATACATAGAATACCTGGGGCATCCTCTCATACATGGGCCCTTCAGATTACTGCTTCAGGTTCACATCCACCTAAAACACATAGCTCCTAAGCCCCTACCAATATGATTAATTTGACTATAGTCAGCCAAAGGCCACAATTAGTTCAAAGCAATAGCATTAATGATACAACATAGTAAAAAAAATAGTAATCAAACATTTCCCCTTATAAGCCTGGTGTACACTCTTCCATAAATAGGTGTAGTCTTTGCTAGGCATTTCTCTCTGCTAATCTCATGCTTTTTCAATAATATGTCATTGATCTCATGGTCACGGGCATGGGTCTTAGTGTAATCAAGCTTCTTTTTGTTGCCAGCTTCTGGGTTCCAACTCATCAGGGTGCTTTTTACCTACTTGGTATTCTGACTAATAGGATTCAATGACTAGAAAGCCTCTCTGATAAGGGCTGGCTTACAGCTGTTATGTTCAGTCATTTCAGTTGTGTCTGACTCTTTGTGACCCCATTTAGGGTTTTCTTGGCAAAGATACTGGAGTAGCTTGCCATTTCCTTCTCCATCTTATTTTATAGAAGAGGAACTGAGGCAAACAGGGTTAAATGACTTGTCCCTCACCCTCCATATTTGCAATGCTCTTTAATGACTCAGCCATGATGTGAGCCCCAAGGCCATCTCATCTCATCCCAATTAACAACTATGCCAAATTTTAGAGGCAGGCTTAACACCAGCATTCCTTTAGTTCAGGTTTGATGTAGGGATGAAATGAGGCATTCACAAATCTATGAAAAGTTAACAAAAGGAGGTTTGATTTGCCCTAACACATAAAGGGTATGCAACAAAGATATTGTGGCTTTATTTAGCTGCTCTGGACATGGCCCTATAAACTCATTTCCATATGGAATTGCTTCAAGTCAAGAGAACAGGATATAAAAGCTTCAGAAATTTAGAAGGGCCCTAATTTCACATGAATGGGACTTTCTTGTGCCCTTAAGTGATTAGGAAGCTAAAGCCAAGTGAGGTAGGGGAAAATCATGTCCTAGGGACAGCTTTGTTACCTTTTAGGGAAAGTTAATTCCTGGTGCAGGGAACCCTGGTCCAATCACACATGCAACCAGTAGTATTTTTTTGCCTGGCATTTTTCTTTACTTTCTGCCACCAGGAGAACATATGTAAAAATCCAAAGCTCATCTGTTCTTTAGAGTTTGCTTACATTTATTTGATTCATATTAATGTTGGCTAGATAAAATGATCAATCATAGCTACTTCCAATCTGTGTTTCATTATTTGTCATAGGGAATTTCAAAAAGAGACAGGGGCAGTGATAATTTACAAGTTGTACAAAGGAAAATGAAAGAGAACAGAAAGCATGGACTCTGTCTAAATCAGTGGGATTCTTGCCTCACTGGGGTCTTCTGAACTGTATGAGAGCATCTTACTGATTTAAATATTTGTAAAAAAACATCCCAAAGTAAGATAAAAGTGGAATCAAGGGTTTTCCCTTAGGTGAAAATGCACTAATCACCATTGCTCTTTGGTGGTGTTGTTTGTCCTTTGTTCTAGGAGAGAACCAATGACATCATAAAGGCGATGTCTTCACTTAATGTGAATTGGATGGGAAAGCTACTTAAAGCTTAACTGCTTTAAATTATATTTGTCTTTTTCCTTATTTTCCCCTATAGTCATGCTCAGAGTACCTCTTTGTAGAAGCACAGCCAACAACAGTGACTAGAAAGTAGGTCATTGCACTTGGAAGAAGCCGGGTGGCTAGAAAAGGCTGGTGATGAGGCACATTCCGAGGGTGGAGGATCAGAGAAGAGGGATTGAGGATCTCTTCCTTTGGTGGTCTAGCAAGTAAAATTTTCTACCTTATACAATCAACCCTCACAGACACCTGGATATGTAACTTTCTTCTTCATGAGTGGGTAAGTCTGTCATCACAATGGGGCAGCTCATCTATCCACTGTGGATTTTTGTAAAAGTGAAAAACCAGTCTTGGCTTGATTGACCTCAATTCAAGGCACCATAAGCAGGAGAATTAACTAGTCAGGAGACAGTAAATAGGCCTTTTCTCTGATGTCTAAAGTGGAGAACCATCTTCAATAGGTCACAATAGCTTATAAACATGTTTACACAGGAATATGGTTTACAGTATGTTTATGTAAGAGCACAGGGGTCAAAGAAGTGGGTAGTGGGTTTTACTGGCTTCCAACCTTGTCACCTGATGATTTAAAACTGCCTCAGTTCAAGATGTTTAGAATGGTCACACAAGGGCACAGGGGTCTGGTAATTTATTGTTGTTCAATGGTAATGTACAACAACCATAAATCCTGCTTTATTCTCCAAATATGCTTTTTTTACTCTGAGTTATCATTCCACAGTTAAGACCTAGTCCATCAGTCTTTTTTTAGAAGCCCTTTTTCAAGCTCAGCTCTGAACTTAGGCCTGTGACATCCCTTTCTAATTTAAACCCGATATATTTTTATGAAACCAATTGATTTCAAGTAGAATTATTGTGTCTGAGAGAGTATATGTGTATATGTTTAAAACGTAATATGGTATTAATATGAAAGGTGATTTGGTCTTGGATGACCTCTTCCTTGGCATGACTAATGTTCAGTGTGGGCTGCACCAATACTGATTGGTCTCTCAAGTGTAGGTTGAGAATATGAAATTCTCTGGCAAGTAGAAATGAAAGACAGACATATAGAGCTATAGATATTGTCAAGCCTAGATACTTAAGGAAAAACAGGCATTCTTAGAGATATTCATATTCCCAAACAATACAAATTAGGACCAAACAAGGTCCAGACATTCCCTCTAGAAGTGCACAGAATCTGGCCCTGATACAAAGTCTCAATTTGGAAAGTAAGACTCGAATATTACTGTGCTGTAAGAAATGATGAGCAAGTAGATTTAGAAAAACATGGAAAGACTTACATGAAATAAGGTAAAGTGAAATGAGCAGAACCAAGAGAATATTGTATATACATTAGCAGCAATGTTGTCTGAAGAGTAACTGAATGACTAAGCAATTCTGAATGAATATTCAAATTAACTATGAAGGACTTATGAAGGAAAATGTTATCTACCTCCAAAGAAAGAATTGATATATGAAAGTATGTATTATATGGTTCCACATATATATCTATATCAAATGCTGGCCTTCTCTAATGTGGGGTTGGGAGGGAGAGGGAGAGACAACTCGGAATTTAAAATGTAACAAAAAAAGAAATATTAAAAACAAAGAAAGAAATACTGGGCAAAGTAGCAAGAAGAAGTACAACCAATCTCAACCCCATATCTCTTCCAAATGGATCTAGAATATGTACCATACCGACTCCTAATAAGGAAATTAAAGAAAAAATCACAGAGAATCTTTTTTTTAGCCTAAGGCAGCATAAGGAGATAAAGAGGTCTGTGAACAATGGAAACAGGGTCTAACCGAGAATGGCCAAGCACAGCATTCTAGTGCAGGCTTGAAAGGCAAAGAGAGGTCCCAAATGTAGCACAAATGGGCCTAAACTTATGCAAGATGCAGGAACAGATGGCCAACTGGCTGCTCTGTTGCTCACTGTCCAGTTTTGGGTCACAGATACAAAGCAACTGAGGAGTTGCACGTCTAGGGGTGGCATTCCAGGAGTAGGATTAGTTACAGGCCCTAGGCTGTGCACTTAGCAGGAATTTTAGAAGCAAGCAGTAGCTGTGTGGCACTAATCCCAATAACAGAGCAGGGTCTCAATTCTAGCTTCCAGCCTAGTCTGAAGCCTGCAGAGGTATAACCAGGGTAGGAATGTGAGTCCAAGAGGAACCTGCTGTTCTGCCACTCTGAATCAGCAGAACTTTCTAGCTGGCAGCAGCCAAGTCCAGAAGCAGTCTACTGGAACTGAAAAACCAAAGAAAACCTATAGGCATCTTGCTCAATCCTAATCTCAGGTCAGGAACTTGCAGAATTCAGACCAGTAGGGCAAAAATTAGACTTTGCCCTGCGTCAGACCACTTTGAAGCGCTGGGAAGCTTGCAGGTCCCCAACCTGAACTGTCTCTGAAATTCTGGAATAAAACAATACTAAATGTTTCAAGAAAAGAACAGCAGGATTAGTTCAGATATTTCCTCTAGAAGTTCACAGAATCTGGCCCTAACATGAAGTATGAAGTCAGGAAAAAAGAATCCTACCATAAGGAACTATTATGCTGGCAGGGAAGCTCCAGAAACTAAGAGAGAAGACAATGACTCCAAAATAACTATAAGTAAAGCATCAAAGAAAAACATAACTTGAGCATAAGTTCAACTAATATTCCTGTGAATGATAAAAATTTTTTAAAGCATGAAAATGGGTTTTTTAAATAAATGACAGTCCTAAAGGAAAAAGTGGAAAAGAAATGGAATCTATGGAAGAAAGAACTGGGAAAAGAATTAATAACTTGTCACAAGAGGCACAAAACCTTACTCAAGCAACAAACTCCTTGAAAATTAGAATGGATCAAACAGAGGCAAATGAAACAAGAAATATTAAAATGAAATTTAAAAAATGAAAAAATACAAGAAAATATAACACATCTCACAGCAAAAACAACTGGCCTGGGAAATTGTCTTAGGACACATAATTTCAAATGGCTACCTGAAAGCCATGACCAAAAAGAGTCTAGATATCCTATTTCAAGAAATCATCAACGAAAACTCTAGAATCAAAGGGCAAAATGGAAATAGAAAGACTCAACTAGTTATTACCTGAAAGAAACCCCCAAATGAAAACTCCCAAGAACATTACATCCAAAATCTAGAGCTTCCATTTCAAAGAAAAAATAATTCAAGCAGCCAGAAATAAAGAATTCAAGTACCTAGGAATCACAATTTAGCAGCCACCAGTATTAAAACAAAAACAAACAAACCAGAGAGCTTGGAATATAATGTTTCAGAAGGAAGGAAACATAAATTCATGTGTCTGCTGTGTGCCAGGCATTGTGCTAAGCACTTTGCAAATATTCTCATTTGATCCTCACAACAACCTTGGAAGGTGTTATTAGTATCCCCACTTTACAGCTGAGGAAACTGAGGCAGACAGAGGTTAAGTGATTTGTCAGGGTCACACAGCTAGTAAGTGTCTGTGGTTAGATTTGAACACAAATCTTCCTGACTCCAGACACAGTATTCTATCCACTGTGCTACCTATCTACAAAGGAAATAGGCTTACAACCCAAAATAATTTACTCAGCAAAACTGAATATAATCTTACAGAGAAAAAAAAAAGAAATTTTAATGAAATAAGAGAATTCCAAGCATTCCTAATGAAAAGACCAGAGCTGTGTAGAAACTTTGAAGTGCAAACATAAGACTTAAGAGAAACATAAAAAAGTAAATATGAATGAACAATCATAAGAACTACAAAGGATAAACTGTTCATACTCTAATATGGGAAGGGGACACATGTGTGGCTGACATGGGAGTGGCTGACATTTGAACCTCATTCAGCTAAACTGGTGAAAGAAGGGAAAAACACATACAAACGTTTATAAAAATGCATTTCACTAAACAGGCAATGGGGGAGAGTAGAAAAAAGAGAGATGGGGAATAAGGGGGAGGGTAAACCAAAGGAGGGATTAACCCAAAGCAAAGCAAACTCTAATTAAAGATGTATGAAAATATTTACAGCAGCTCTTTTTAAAGTGGCAAAAGAATTGGAAACTGAATGGATGCCCACCAATTGGGAAATGGATGAACAAGTTATGTGATAAATGTGATAGAATACTATTGTTTTAGAAGAATGATGAAGGGAATGGTTTCAGAGAAACCTGGAAGACTTTTAGGAACTGATGCAGAGTGAGATGAACAGTTTGTACAGTTTGCAATATTGTAAAGATTAAAAAAACTCTAAAATACCTAGGAATGCTCTGATCAACTCCTGGACCAGCCAGAGGATTCATGATGAAACATGTTCCTGATAGATAGGTGATTGAGGCATATTTTTTTGGACATGGTTAATGCAAGGATTTATTTTACTTGGTTATACATGTTTATGACAAGTGTTTTGTTTGTTTTTCTTTCTTTCTCAATTACGGGGAGAGAGGTGGGAGGAAGAGAAGGCAGATTTTAGTTGATTGAAAAGAATCCAATGATGGAAAAAAATATGACTGGAAGGCTGAGTAAACAAAAAAAGACTCCCTTGATAAAGATTACCATGCTAGGGATGCCTAAAACACAAACCCTAAAGAAGAGACTGACTCCAAAACATCAACAAGCAAAGCCTCAAAGAAAAATATTTATTCTTGTTTCTAAAATTCTAGAATTCTTTGAAGAAATAAATCAATTTTAATTTTATAAATGAAATAAGAATGGTAGAGGAAAGAACCAGAAAAATAGAGCTTTGGAGTTTAAAATACAATTATTACAAAAAGCAAAAGATACTCGGGCCCCTTATCCAATATTCCCTTATACCGTCAAGGGCACTAACCATATTCCAGGTTAATCAAAGTTCACCTCCTCATTGTTATCCTGTGCTTCTCACCTTCACGCCACATATCCCATGTGTTGTCAAATCTTATCATTTCTATCTTCCCAACATTTCTTCATCTCTTTATTCTCACAGCCACCACCCTAGTTCAGGACCCTCACCACCTCTCACTAGGACTACTTGCAATAGCACGTTTTAAGGGTCTCTGCCTCTTCTCTCCCGGCTCAGTTGCTGAAGCAAATATCCTAAAATATAGGTCTGACCTTTTTAGCCTCCGATAAACTCGGGTGCCTCCCTATTATTTCCCATATCAAATGTAATTCCTCTGATATTTAAAGGTGTTCATAACCTGGCCCATTCCTACCCTTCAGTGTTCTTACACAGTGCTTTTGCTCCCTCCATGAACTCTAATGATCCAGTTATACTGGCCTTGCTGTGCCTCGCACTG